ATTGTTTAAACAATTATAGTTATTTAATAAGATAAAATAAATACAATAAACAACTTTTTAAAAAAAAAATCATGTTTATTAAATATAAATATGAATATATAATTTTAATAGGTTAAACAATTCTAATTATTTAATAAGATATGTTTGATGCCTTTTAAGTTAAGTGTGATTCACTATAAAATTAAACTAAAATATAAGGATGTGATGAGCATAAGAAACACATATTTTCACTCACTACAAAGGTTCAATGTTTTTGTTTTTATCATTCAAGAAGCTAATGAGAAACACTAAAATATTCAATGTTTATTTTTCTAGGGGATATGATTATTATAAAGTCTTATTGCTTATTTACAAAGTTAACACATGGCATATTATTTAATTTTTTTTATTTATTTCTTATTATATATACACACCAAAGTCATTTTATTATAAATTGCTTGAAGTTGTACACCAAGCCATCATGTTGGGAAAGAAAATATTTGAAGATTATTTCTCCAAAGCTCTCAAATGCTAATATTGACCTAATCACAAGGCCAAAATAATTATTTTTTATTTTTTTAACCATAGTATCACCATTAACTTTTATTTTATAGCTAGATAAATTTATATTCATAAATTAATAATTTCACATGAGATCAGTGTACATATACAATTTACATCAATTAGGATATTATTTTATTATCAGTTATATTACGCTTAATTAAGTATGAGTTAAAAATTTCACACTAAATAAAATTGTATTATAAAAATAATATATAAAAAATTCTCAAATTTATTGTGCGTACCTCATCTTATGAATAAATAAGATTTACTTTATGTTATTTAAGAATAAATAACTTTAACTGAATATTTATTGTTGATATTTAGATTATATAAATAACGTTATTTATTTGTATTAACTATATCTCCTGTAATAACTATTGTATTTAACGCCATTGATTTAAATTAAAAAAATACTAACAAAAACTATAATTAAATTAAAATTAAGGGTGTTAAATGAACCACACGTGTATAATTTCGTGATACACAATGAATTGCATTTTAAGCATATACCATCACATTCATTTATTACTATCTCCATCTCATTTTATTTACCGTTAAAATTTCCTTACGCATATTATAATAAATCAATCAATAAATAAAAAATTATTAAAATATTCTTACATTTATTTTAAATTTTATTTTTCATAATTATTATGCAGCTAAATAATCGATAACTAAATGTTTTATACACCCAACATTACATATATTTTATGAATATATAAGGTTTCGAGCGTGTGTGGAAGTCAACGGTCTAAACTGTGTTATATTGTCTAAAATTTGAATATTGTTAAGAAGTCTAAGTGCTGTGTTAAACAGATTCAAGGGTACTACAGAAAAAGACACTTTAATACCAAAGTTAGTTTAACATTGACAATTAGCAATCAATGTAATAGTAAATGTCGTTATCTATTTCCTTATCTCAAACATATATTTATAGGTTTAGAGATAAACTTTTAATTAACATCGACCTAATTGCGACCCAATTGTGTATAATCATATTTTACTCTTAAGTTTATCAATATTAAGATTAATGTATTTGACCTAACTGACCGGTTTGCTTGGTATCTGACCGAGTTCATTGGGGGCTTAATAGAGGATTCAACCTGGTTGAATCGATCGGTCTATGGTTGACTCACGGTCATAAATGATCTATGGTGAACTGATCGATCAAACGATACATATAACGTATTACAAATAATTTTCCTACCTAGTTAATTTTACAATGTGTTATACATTCATAATAATTGAACAACTCTCTTAATGTTTAGTCTTACGCTTGATATATATGACTTGATATGAGAGTGTATTGAAGATCTCATATCGACTAAAAATAAAATCAATTTATAATATATAAGTGGGTACAAACATCATCTTAAAACACTATAATAATATTTGTAATTATGTCGAATTCACTAATGGATTTTAGAATTTAAATTACCGACAAATATTTTCATCATTAATTATTCCATTGGTAAGATCCATTAATAAATTAGAATTTGTATTATGATGAATATTTCCATCGGTAATATATAAGACAACCAATTTTGTTGGTAATTTGTAAATCTGTTGGTAAAATGAGTAATAAATTTTTTATCAAGTTTGATGAGATTTTTTTATATATTAAAGGGAGATGAGTGAGAAGAAGAAAAGAAAAAAAGAGAGAAAAACAATAGAATGAGAAGAAGGAAGAAAAAGAAGGAAATGAGGAGAAAGAGGGAAAGGAAGAGGATTAGAAAAAAAAAAAGAAGAAATAGAGGAGAAGAAAGAGATCGAGAAAGTGTGACGACCCTTCAACTTCGATGACGGCCAAAGTTGGAAAAGAAAGAGGAAGAATAAAAAGAAGGAAAAAAAGTCATAACATTTACGGATAGTCAAAATTTATCATTAATTACCAACATATATTTATCAACAAATTTATAATCGTCAATAATTATTAACAAATTTTGTGATTCACCGATAAAATTAACATTTGACCATTTTACTAATATATTTTCACTATCAATTAACTTGAATTATTGACGAATATTTCTTTGTCAATAATATATAATTTTAATGTAATTAAAGTCATATTTATAAGAATTGATTAAATTTAAAATTAATTTTTAAGAAAATTGAATTATTTATGTATCTATATATATTTATTGTCACTAATAACAAAAATAAATCATAAACATTGATATGTATTTTAGGATTCATTCCCTTCTTTCTTTCATTATGTTATTGCATGTATGCTTATGTTGTTATATATATAAATTGTTGTGTTTATTTGTTCTCTAAAACTAAACAGATTTACCTAGATGAAGAAGTTATAGAAACATATATAACTAATTAAACCATTAGGATTATCTTGAATTGAATTCCTAATGAATAGTTAAGAAGTAGTGAATGCTGAGTGCTTAGTCTTTTTTACAAAGTAAAAGAGACTTTATACATTAAATTATACTGTGGAAAAAAGGTACCAAAAAAAGTACACTTTTGCAGTAATAAAGATAAAATAATTAGGAAATTGTGTTAGGCCTTGACCACTCTATATGCTTTCACTTAACTCCACCTTTAATCACCAATGATTTTCACGTGATTTTTTTTTTTTTTTTTTTTGTGTTTTCAAGCAAAAGAGACATATTATTCCTTTCTTGTAGTCAGCACATCTATCATACATGTATATAAATATTTCTCCCTTAAAGTTATGTCTCTTTATCATACCATCAATTCAAAGAGAGCAATTTCAACAAACAGATCAATATCAAATCATTTCCTTCTAAATCTCAAAAACATTTTCTCTTTCCCTTTGCAGCCAAAATTTATTCAACTCCTCAACAATTCATCATTTTCAATGCAATAATTAGAGACAAAGAATAAACAATCAGAAATTAAAAAAAGAAAAATATAATTTTGTGTGGTATTTAAGTTTATGATGGAGTTTCTTAGTTTATTGAATTGGTCTTTTTAATTATAATTTTTCTACTTAATCCTAATAATAATTAATATTTTTATTGGAACTTTGATTATGGAAAGAAAAAGTTAACGATCTTTAATTTGATAGAAAGTATTCAGTTGTCGGAGATGTTCTTGACCCCTTCCAATAATACAATCTCATTCTTTGTCGACTTCTTTTAGCTATTTCGAAATTAATATCTTCACAACCCACTAATACACAACTATTTGATAATTAATTATATTTTTCTTAATTTTTAATTTAAAGTGTTAATATGTATTATTATATTATTAAAATGAAATTGTTAAGATGTTTTCTTCGTAAAGGTATCATATTACAAATTTTCTATATATTAAAAGCAAAATTATTGACCTGGTATGTAATCAACAAAATACATCAAAATTTACCATATATCCACAAATGGTAAGTAATATAATAGTAAATAAAAAAACATTAAAGGTGAAGTTAGTAGAAGCATATAGTTATTTTGAAAATTAACTGTAAGTCAAAGTTTCAATTTGAATAGAATGAGAAAGTAAAACATTATATAAAAATTAAAGACCTATTAATTCATTGTTTTAAAGTTTTGAATAAAGAATAGTGTCAATCACTTGTATCGTCAATTCATTAAGATAATATTTTACTATTAATTATTTTTGTTGTAAGATTCATTTTAATTTAGAAATAACAGTATTTGAGTATTGTTTTCTGTAAAATGTTTGTTTTCCTACTTTTATATTTTTCTTTATAAGGGAAATAAAATATTTAGATAAATGTTTTATTTTTTTATTTATGGTAAAAATAATGACACTTTTAGAGAAAAATACTATGATAAGGGAGATAATTGTACTTTTTCTGTCCTTTTAAACATGATATTTCAGTGTCATCTAATTTTCTTACTAGTAGCTAGTAATATTTGTCTTTCCGTAATTGTTTCTTTAAACACTGTAAATAGATACATTTACGTTCAACTACTTTTACTGGTTGATTTAAGAATTAAAAGTTTGTAAAATATATTTTGATACACATAAATTTTTTATATTTGTTTGATAATATTTTTTATATTTTATTTTTTTAAATATAAAATTTACTTTTTTATAATCCATATCTAAAAAGTTTCTCACATTTGTCACGAAAAAACAAAAAAAATATACATATATATATATATAAAAGATTTGAAAGCTTTTAATACAATGTTATTTTATTTTTCTCATAATTATTCTCTTTATCTTTTTTATTGGTGGCAAGTATTTATCAGAAGTATTAATAAATAAATTTGAGGAGTGTAGTATAACGTGACACGCTTAAAACAAAGTAAGAGTTGCTTTGTGAACAAAACATCGTGAGTATATATGTTTATGTATTATGTATCGATGTGGGACCTGGCAACACATAGGGTCCTACCAACTGCATGTGTTACACGTGTACACCCCATTAACACCATCAACACAGTGAGCAATGAAGCATCCTTTATAAGACCTACAAGTTCTGCAGGGTGACATAGCAGCTTTTAGCTATTCTGCAACCATCTTACACCTTCTTCACTAAAATCACCATCTCAGAATACAGCCACTTCTGCTTCTGTGCTTCTGCATATCTGTGCTTCTGCTTCTGCTTCTTCTGCATCATATTGTTAATTTTCTCTGCTAAATATGCTCACATGCACCATTACTCTTCTCATCATAATTAATTCATGAGTGCAATCACTTTGTAAGTTTTGCCTAAAAGCTACACTCTAGAGACCTTCCTTTCTCCTCAATCTCATCCTTTCTTCTCAAAATCAACACAAAAATCTCCTACTGTTCTCCTTCTTGAATGTATTAGATAATGGGGCACCACTCTTGCTGCAACAAGCAGAAGGTCAAAAGAGGGCTTTGGTCACCTGAAGAGGATGAGAAACTCATCAACTACATCACAACTTACGGACATGGCTGCTGGAGTTCTGTCCCAAAACTTGCAGGTGTATATATATGATATAATTGTCAAGTCTACCACTTGTGTTAGTATTTTTTCCAGCACTTGTGTCTTGAAATTTTGAGTTTGTTTTTGTTTATGTTTGATGATGTTTTTAGGCCTGCAAAGGTGTGGAAAGAGTTGCAGATTAAGATGGATAAATTATCTGAGACCTGATTTGAAACGTGGAAGCTTCTCTCCTCAAGAAGCAGCTCTCATTATTGAACTCCATAGCATTTTAGGGAACAGGTATATAACCATTGCTAATCACATGCTCCTTTTTTCTTTCTTTACTTTTCTTTTTTGTTCTATTCATGTGCTTATCATCAACATTATTGTCAAAAGGGTGCTTTATTTATCTACTTTTTTCTCAACAAGACTGCACTTTTCGGGTACAGGTGGGCTCAGATAGCCAAGCACCTACCTGGAAGAACAGATAATGAGGTGAAAAACTTTTGGAATTCAAGCATAAAGAAGAAACTCCTTTCTCATGATGCTGTCATTCCTCCTTTAGCCACATTTTCTGATTTTCATCACAGCCCCATCACTTCCATGGAAACTTTCTTCCCTTTTACTGCAAACCCTAATCTCATCTTAAACTTCCACCATTTCACAGACCAGCTCTACCTTCCCACCACACCATCCCCATTCCTACAAGCTTTTGATCACAACAATGATGTCAAGTTAGGTTTCAACACTTACAATGCCGATTTCCTTCATATTCAGAATCCAGCACTACCAGAAACAGCACTACCTTCTTCCAACCCAAATGAAGAAAATCAAATCTCCAAAAGTGACACCACCTCGGACTATGTTCTTGACAGATTCATCAACCCAGCAGCATTGCAGCAACATGAATATCTCTTGGTAGAAGAACCCCTTGTGCCTATAGTCGGTGAGAACATTGAGGATAATTATGTTTGCAGCATCCCATTCTCATCCACTCCCCAAGAACAACACGAGACTACAGCAAAATTTCAGTGTTATCCACAAGATCTAGCTGTGGCAGTGAACCAATTAGAGTACATTGATGCCTTCATGTCATTGTTGCCATCTTCAACAGTTTCAAGCACCCAAAAAGTCCCAAACCCTATTATTCCCTCAGGATGGGAGCCTTGAACATTGGTACTATTTATAGATATAAATTTAATTTTATCTATATATAGTACATTTAATTAAATAATTAGGGAATCTCTTTGATGATCAATAT